ACTTACAATTAAATATGAACTTAATAATTAAAGTAAAAAACCAGCATGCTACTAAAATTTCCATAATTATTCTAATTTACTCAAATGGTACTTTCACATTTTAAAACTTGCAATCAAGTCCTAAAATGTTTAGGACCATTCGAATTCCACCCTTAAATTTTACCAATTTTGCAATTTGGTTCCAAACAACTTTGCAACTTAAATTTCCAGCATTCAAATACTAAAAATTAACATTGAAAACCCCAAATGTCACATTCTTGTAATAATATCCCATAATTCTCAAAACTTGTAAATTAGCCTTTTTTTTCTTTTTCAAGCTTTCAAATTGATCTCCAATTTACATAAAACACTTCTAATATCCATACAAGACCATAGGAAATATTTCAACATTTCCCTCCTAAATTTCCCTAATGGTCGAACCTATATAGTGCTTTAGGACATGGTTTTTATTCAATTTCAAGTATGAATTAAAACTACCTTAGATCAAATTCATGTTATTCTTACCATTACAACATAATTGAATCAAAATCCAATAAATTCCTAAAACCTTAAAGTGGTCGAATGCTTTAGATCACTCTACACTTGATTTTAAACATCATACATGCTTGAGTATTAATCTCCAACATAAAAACACAATAATCTTTCATTAATTCTTCAAACTCCATAAACCCTACATAATCCCTAACTTTCAATATCAACACATAAGCTTGTTCACCGTGTAATACTTATACCAAATGATAGAGAATTTCATGTAGATTAATTATCTATTTCACAACTTAGTCCAAAAATCAATCATGTAAGCTTAAAAACAAAAACAAAAAGTAATGGTGGTTTCAACCTTAAGCTTGGAGATGAATGAAATTGTGCTAAATTTCTTGATTATTCTAGTATAAATTAACCTTAACACATGGCACTTTAATATAATTGAATTTCAAATTCAATTAACGAGAAATTCCAAAAATACCATGAATGAATCTTAAAAATTACAAATTGTCATTTCATTATCTTCCATTAATATATTTCTTAGTCAAAGATGATTAAACTTGACTTTGACTTTCTACTTTGTCCATGCAATTTTCAAAAATTGCATTTTAGTTATTAAAATTTTCATTATTCAACCAAATCTGAAAAATTACACTGATCTGAGCTAAATTTATCTGATCTAAAATATGAAAATAATATTTCCAACCACCCTCTAACCTCCTTCAAATTTTTGTAAAATTCTTGTTCGATCCGATTATCTGATTTCTATACTGAACTTTAACACTTTATAGTTTTTAACATAAATCCCGTACCAAAAATATAATTACACGAAAAATCCTTATTTTAGGCCAAACTGTTCATTTAAGAGCTAAAATATATAACTTTTGAAAATTATATTTTTAATCCCTAAACTTTTCAAACTTTATACTTTAACTACTAAACTTTCAAAACTTATATTTTAGTCACTAGCCAAAATTTGGGATATTTCACTTATGAACCTTAAATAAGTCAAATATGACCATCCAAAGTGAATAGTATCGATACTCCACTTGCAGTATTGATATCATAGGGTCAAGTATTGATACCCTTATGAGTATTGGTTCCAAAAATGCATTATGTTTATGAAATTGGGGCTTAGTATCGATATTGCTACCCTGAGTATTGATAATGTAGGGGTATGATACTTTCCCTGGCAATATCAATGCTCCCTACTTAAATCTCTAATTGTTGCCCTGGTTTAACCACTATTGATATTGTTCATCCCAGTATCAATACTCGAACACTGAAATGGGTATTTTAGGTTCAGAAAACACCCAAAGATCATCCTAAAGGCCATGGTTTTCTTTCTAATCTTATTTTGAAGATTTAGGGAGTTAATTAGGGTCTTAAAGTAGCATAAAATCATCTTCTAAATATCTAAAACTTTATTTGATCTTCATATCAAATATAAACCCTAAAATACTTAAATACTTAAACCCTAGCAAATACTTGAAATTTATGAAATCTTAATACTCCAAAGGATTAGAAATACACTACCTTAGTGTTAGAAACCCGGAATGAATCCTCTTTCTTAGCTACACTCATTTCCTTGGTGATTTCGATGATTTCTCCCAACTTTTCTCTTAACTATAAAAACCCATGGCTTGAAACATTAAAAATGATTAAGTTGGATGAATTAGGAACGAAATTGAAACATGAAAAGGCTCAAATTCTTACCTTGGCATAACCCTCGAAGAGGAAGAGAAGAATGAAATAAGGATATGAAGGGGAAAAGCATATGAAGAAAATAAGTAAGCTCCACATTTGTAAAAATGGGAAATTTACACTCTTGGTCCTTCTCATCTTTCCACTATTGAAAAATCTACTTATTATGGCTAATTGAGCCCGTTTCAACCCAAATTAAGCCCAACAACATAAAATAAAATTTCTACAGAATCCACTTACTTCTCGGGTAAACCCGAAACTACTAGCCCAGAATTTGTGGTGTTACAAGAAACTTCAAAAGTACCCTTAAATGTGTGTGTATCAAAAATATACGAACGATGATTTGATGTGAAGAAAATGACTGCAAGCAAAATGACATATTATGTGAATAATGTGTTAAAGGAGACTTATATCATGAGAAAAGCGATGAATCATTGATTTGTAAGTCAGCCCTGAAATTCAAGGGTGAATTCAGAAAAAAGTGTGATTGTATGTGAATGAATAATCATTAATGGATAACTAAATACGATTTGAGAATCATGCTACGTAAAAATATGTTGTGTGGATAGTGATAATGTTAAATGCATTGTGTTGTAAGTTACTAAAAGATTAATTTACTCTCGCATAACGTTCTAGATGAGAGAAAATGTTATAGAATGATGAGAGATAAAATAACCGCACTTGGTAGTGATGTTATCATTGTGTTTGTGTTATGGTTGTATTTATATGTATGTGATGATGTATGTCTTATATGTGTTGAGACTAGAGATCAAATTATGTTCATGGTTAGACTCTTAATTACAGACTAGGGAAAGCATGAAATTAATATTATTGCGAAAGAAAGCTTATGAACCTTAAGCATGTAGCAATTGGATTTATGAATCATACATGTACTTATTGTTTATTGTCATATATATTAGCATGCCTATGTTTATGTGATTTATAGTGTTACTTTAGATTAACGATTTACTACTGTCTATTGAGCTTTATAAAACTCAACGTTCACGTATTTTCGTTCATAGGTTAATAATTTAAACTTATTCAAGGAATATCGTCGCCGTGAGATTTTCAACATTTCCTTCAAGAGTATTATATTGTTACTATTATTTTTTAACTTATTTGCATGAGAAAGTTGGATAAAGAGAGAGAGTTTATTTCCATAAATTCAAACGACAATGAATAATATTGAATACCGTTTATTTTCTTAAACTAAATTGATTCGCGAGATTTTCCGTTCAGATCAGTTTTTAAAAGTTTATAATAACTAAAGAATAAAGAGTTGAATATTGCAGCCGTTTCTTGAGTTTAATGCATGAGGAATTGTTGGCGGAAATTTTTAATTCCGTTTCAAACCTCCTCCTCAAATCTAATTGATTTAATAACAGAAAAGGAAAACCATGTCATTGACCAATCCAACCCACAAGCAGATTTATTAATTAGCTGACCCGCATATGTAATAGGGTGAGGGGATGTAAGGTAGTAAACTACCCAACGGGTTGAGAGCAGCAGATTTATTAATAAAATATTTAATATCACCAGGATTTGACTTTTCTGAGGTGGTATTCCAAATTTAAATCATGACAAAAGCAATATAAATTATTATTATATTATTCCATGTACAGAGTCCCACTTTCAAAATTAAAATAACATTAGCTATAAACATTATAATAGTAATATTAATTTGTTGTTTCAAGGATTTTATTTTGTATTTGTATAAATATATATTTTTGACATATATTTAGTGCACTTTTTTTAATATATATATATATATATATATTATTCATATTTTTAACTTCTCTTATTTTTTTTTCTTTTCAACTCAATCTTTAATCATTTTAATCCATCTTTATCACATAAGCGCTATGTATTTCCTACAGAAAGTGATTTCTTAAAAGTTTTGTTTAGATACAAAATAATATTAATTCAAAAAATAATTTAAAACAAATATTATAGGATGAATATGCTATGTTCGACGAGCGTCGTTGAGTGTCACTAATGATGAGCACCGTTAATTTAATTTATAAAAATTTAAATTCTAAAGGATTCGACGTATAATTATAAATTAGCTAAAAATCTAAAGATAGATTATTTAAAATAAAATATTAATTACATAATTTTTCATAATTTTTTAACAATAATTGATCAAATATCAATCCTTAAATTAAAAAATCCTAAATATTTAGATGTTGATATAAATTAATTTAATAGTGTTTAGTGGTATTTATCGTTAATCGTACTCTTCGAGCGGTGATCATCCAGCATTGTAAACTTTTCCATTTTTATATTATTTTTAAGTGATAAAAAAGCCACCACTCCAAGCTTAGGTTAAAGACAATTTGAGTGCGGAAGGCAGCTGCGAATCACTCAAAAGGCATCCTACGTGGAAGGAACTGAAGCTGAACCAGACACTTATACCCGGCCGTGTATGGTTAAACCGCATGATGAACCAAAATTCGACAAAGACAAAACAATCACGCTGGTCGGAGAAAAAAAACCCAAAAAACAACTTTTTTTTATACTTTTTGCGCATTTACATTCATATGAGTATTTAAAACAACGTCATTTTATTACACTTTTAGATATAAATTGAATATTTTTGTTATTACATGAATATATTATGCATGTATAGTATGAAAAGATGAAAGACAGAAAATTCAAACTACAAAATCTGTGAAGCAAATAGTCAAAACTCCGACATTCCAGTTGTTGAACTACCCCCCATTCTCTTCTATAAATACCCACTTCATCTTCTACATCGAGTATCAAATCAAAAACATTCGATACAGTATTCTTAAGTAGCTTTAGAAAACAAAATGGGGTTTTTCGAGTTATCCCGAGTTTTTTTCATCTTAGCCTTGGTGGTTTCTCTTCTTTATTTGTTCTTTAGACTATTATTCTCTTGCTGGGTTCTTCCCATTCGAGTTTACCGTAAGATTAAGAAGAATGGGTTTGATGGTCCAATTCCTAGTTTCCCTCTGGGGAATATTACGGAGATAAAAATTAGTAAGAATGTCAAAGATTCTTCGTTTGGATTCTCTGGTATTTCCCATGATATACACTCCACTGTGTTTCCTTATTTTGCTAACTGGCAAAAGATTCATGGTGAGTCTTTGTCTTGTTTCATTTACTTGGAAGTTTATAACAAAGCGAAAAGGCTTTGACTTTTGTTCTGTTTGGCTTGCAGGAAAAGTGTTCATCTACTGGCTGGGGACTGAGCCTTTTCTATACATTGCTGAACCGGAGTTTCTTAGAAAAATGTCTTCGAGTGTTCTGGGGAAAAACTGGGGAAAACCCACGGTGTTTAAACGTGATAGGAAGCCGATGTTCGGGAGTGGACTTGTGATGGTTGAAGGAGACGATTGGGTTCGTCATCGCCATGTTATCACTCCGGCATTTTCCCCAGCTAACTTGAAGGTGTCTCTTTTTTCTGTAATACTACTATAAAGTATTATAATATAGTATATTTTCAGAATTTTTGTTAGCTTATCGATAACACTCACGTTTTACAATGTAACCGCTTGAATTTGTATCCCTTAAATAAACATATATAGTGAACAGAATGAACCTTATTTTCTACTTTTGATAATGTAGGCTATGACAAGCTCGATGGTGGAACCTGCCAATTTGATGCTTGACGAGTGGACAGCCCTAATAAGCTCCGGTCGATCTGAAATCGACGTCGAAAGAGAAATCACAACAACGGCGGGGGAGATCATAGCGAGGACCAGCTTCGGGTTGAGCAACCAAAAGGGACGTAAAGTGTATGAAAAATTGAGAGCCATGCAAATCACCCTTTTTAACTCCAACCGATACGTGGGCGTTCCTTTCAGCAAATGGCTTTGCCTTAAGAAAACCCTAGAAGCCAGGAAACTTGGCAAAGAGATAGACCAACTCCTTTTATCCCTCATCGTCGCTCGTAAAATGACTTGGGACGGATCCACTCAGAAGGATTTGTTGGGTTTATTGATGGAAGGCAGCCACGCTGACGGCGGTGCTGGGAAGAGCTTGACGACGAGGGAGCTTATCGATGAGTGCAAGACTTTCTTCTTTGGTGGCCACGAAACCACCGCGTTGGCACTCACTTGGACCTTGCTGGTCTTGGCCTTGTATCCTCAATGGCAAGACCAACTGAGGGAGGAAATCAGAGAGATGATCGGAGATGATGGTGAGATCGATTTTACTCGACTCTCTAGCTTAAAAAAGGTAAGTTTAGGGTCTTATCCATTACAATTTATTTTGACTTTATTTCGTGGAGAAATATCATGGATTAATCAATCAAATACATACTATACATGTGTATGCATATATATTCCTTTTATGTATGAATTATGAAACGTGTTTCACGTGGATCACTGATTGCAAAGATATTGACATAGTTTCTATGGCTATAATTTGCAGATGGAATGGGTGATGAAAGAGGTGCTAAGACTATACTCACCAGCACCAAATGCACAAAGGCAAGCAAGAGAGGATATAAAGGTGGATGATCTTATTATCCCTAATGGAACCAACATCTGGATCGACGTTGTGGGGATGCACCATGATCCGGCGTTATGGGGCGACGATGTAAACGAGTTCCGACCGGAGCGGTTCGAGAATGATAGTCTGTACGGAGGGTGTAAGCACAAGATGGGGTACTTGCCATTCGGGTTCGGAGGGAGGATGTGCGTTGGGAGGAATTTAACGATGATGGAATACAAAGTTGTATTAACTCTTATGCTTAGGAGGTTTTCCTTTTCAACGTCTCCTAATTATCGCCATTCCCCTTCTACTCTTCTTTCCTTGAGGCCTAGACATGGACTGCCTCTCATAGTTCAACTCATTTAGTCTTTTTTAAATGGCATAGTTGAGATCTCATTTATAGGTCTCAGTGAACAACGATGTAATTTTATCTTGGAGACTCAAATTCGAACAATTGCATCTATAGAACGTATGTCTTATAATCATCTATAGTCAAGTTTTACCAGCGGCAAATAGAAGTTATAAAACATAGTTATTGAAGGGGAATCACAATTTACACCAAAATGTATTATCTTCTTTTCCTTGAATTTTGTGATTCAAATATAAACTGTATTTGTTTGACATGGTGAGTTTTAGTTTAATTATCGACTGAATGTGGTCTTGGATTTATTTTTATATAAATATTCGATTCCATAATTTCTAGAGTGTGTCATATCTATTTGATTTTAAAATATTTTGTTACTATGTTCATCATATGTATAAGTCTCATTTTAAATTATGATATTTGTATTAATTTTTTTTGGTAATAGAAAGTTTAGGTCAAGGGTGACTCCCTCAGTCTAAGGTCAGGGCATACCTAAGACTCAATTGGAATTTACATAGGAATTTACAGATTGTCCACTAAAAGTGACGGTGGTAGGATTCGAACTTGGCCTTACAAGCTCAAATTCTTGAACTCTAATCACTTATGTCAAAACTCAATGGCAAATTATGATATTTGTATATAAGTTATGTATATATATATATATATATATATATATATATATATATATATATATATATATATATTTAATATGCCTAATGTAAATATGTATTTATGTAGAGGTGTGTGATATGTTGTATGAATGATGTTCTGTTATTTATATGTTTGTAGATAGTTTCAGTATATATTTAATAGATTGGATAATGAATGATATTGAGTTTTATTATAAATAATATAAATAAGTGTTTTAGTTGTCAACGAGTGTGAGCACAAGTGGTTATGATTAAAAAATTTTAGTATATGAGGTTAAGTTTGAATTCTACCACTGTTACTATTGATATAGAATTTGTAAATTCATATGTAAATCTCAATTAGATCTTAAGTATGCCATGACCCTGGACTGATAGAACTACCCTAACCTAAACTTTTATATAAAAAAAAATAAGTGTTTTAGTTTAGTCTTTTTATTAGTATTCGATAAATACTTGTAATTTAATTAATTTTTAATTAGATTGAATTCGTATTTTTTCTGACCTATGAATGTTGTATCTTTAGTCTGATATATGATTACGTGTAATTTTGAGTGTTATATAAATTGTTTATTTTATTTAATACTATTAACAATGCGAAGAAGAAATATTTTACCTTGATAATCTAAGTTTTTTCTTGAAATTTTGTGCCTTATTTTTTGTTTTTTTTGTTTAGTCGATAACGATGTTGATCTTAATTTTAATTATCGACCGCATATGATTATTATTTTTCTTGATCTTTTTTCATACCATGTCATCATTTTTCTTTTTCTTTTTCTTTAATTTTTTTCATTTTTAAATAAGAATTCATGTTCTTATAACATGTTTTTCTCTACTTTTGTGGCATACTTTTTCTCTGCTCTTGTGACACATTTCTTATGAATTTTGGTACATTTTTCACATATCTATGCGGTTGTGTTGGTGCTCAAATAAAGATCTCACTACATTTATTTTTTGATTGATTTATCCGTGGTCACGTATTCTTAAAAACCCTTTTTGATAAAAAGTTGTTTGTGGGGTTAATCATAATTGTGTAGTGAAACAACTTATCAAATTATTTGGTTCACTCACCATTGGTTTATCATTTCATAAAAACGTCTCATTTGGCAAAGACAAAGAGTTTTATGAATGTCACTGGGTTTTTTTTTTTAATGTTGGATGTCATTCTCAATAGAAAATTTCGTTTTTATTCATATATTTGGTGTTAATATTTTATTTTATGAATAAGTTTTTTGGTAGTTATTGTCTCCAATTTTCTATTTGAGTGTGTTGTAATTTTATTCTTTCTATTATTTTTATTGATAAAATTAGTTGTTATATATGGTTCAAAAAATATATCTTACCTTGATTAAGTGTTAATTTTTTTAATTATTTGTATTTAATTTTTAAATTTATTCTTACTAGATCATTAGAGATAAGATTTATCTACAATGTATCAAATATTGTTTATTTATATATGTGTGATAAAGATACTAATATAAAGCTTATATAGAAAGAAGACACATTTTATATTTAGGTGAGGGAGAGAGGTCCCATCATATCCTTGTAACTTAAATGGAGGGCATTGCAAATTGCCCAATTGAAAGATGGACCAACCATAACAAGCTTTAGATGAAGCTAGCAATAAATATATCATAGTTTAATTTCATCCCTCATCAAGGGTAAGAAAAAATATTATTAAAATGTAATATGTTGTGTGGGCAAATTTTTATTATTATTTTAGAGTGCTTATAAATAATAATATATATTTTAAGACTCTCAATCAGTTCGTCCCTTCTGTCTCAACTTGTGTGTGCTGATATGGCTGCTCAGGTCTGGTCGACGGTGGGTAACCTCTTTGCTAATCGCTCAACCACCGTGGCGATCAACCTTCTTTTTCAACTCAAGTCAGCTAAAAAGGGGAACTCAGAATGCGTGCTTATATTTCGCATGTGTATGAGATATGCGATTCCCTTGCTGCCTATGGTCGCCCGGTATCTGAATTTGAGCAGGTTGTTACTATCCTAAATGGGTTTCCTGTTGAGTATAGGTCGGTGGTAACTGTCATTACGGCGAGTCGTGACCCGTTAACCATTGATGGCGTTATCTCCATTCTCATTGACGCTGAAACACAGCAAAGGAATTTTGAGCAAACAGATGGTGTGCTGATGGCTACCAATGTTGCCCAGGTGAAGGATGGAATAGTAGGTAGTGATCGTTCGTCTTCATCAACCTACTTATCTTCCAATCGTTTTTACTCAGGATCTCGTTCTTCCTCATTGGGTGGTCGTGGTCGCGGCCGGATGAAACTTCAGTGCCAATTATGTGGCAAGAATGGACATCTCGTGGATAGATGTTGGTAGCGCTTTGATCATTCGTTTCCTGGGGTATCTGCAACTAGTTCTCGGGGTTCGAATGTTGCTCAACAGCCTGCAGTGAATGTGTGTCACTACAACGCTAGCAGTACTTCCTATGGCCATGATGGGAAATCAGGGTCTCGACCTTCTGTCTCGGGTGGTCGTGGTTGTGGTGTTTCTGCCAAGAGCAATACTGGGTCTTCGTTTGTGGATTCCGGCTCCACTCATCACGTCACATCCGATGCAGCAGAGATTGTGGATGCTGCTTAGTACACTGGCCCTAGTAAGCTTGTTATGGGCAGTGGTAATATTTTACCTATTTCTAAAATTGGAGAATCTTCACTTGTTACTTCTTCTTGCTCTTTGAAGCCAACAAATCTATTGCATGTGCCTCATATCACTAAGAAGTTGCTTTCGGTGTCTAAGCTTGCTAGTGATAACAATGTCTTCTTAGAGTTTCATGCTTGTCGATGCTTAGTTCGGGATGAAGTAACGGGTGAGGTCTTGCTTCAAGGTCGTGCGGTTGGTGGTCTTTATGAGTTTGGGTTGATATTGCAAGGAAATAAACAAGCTGCTGCTGAAGTTAATATTGCATTGGGTTCTTACAATTTGTATCAAGTATAGCATGATCGTCTTGGTCATCCATCTTTTGAAACTGTTTTGCAATTTTGTACTCACTACTCAATGTATATGTGGCTTTACCTAATGGCTTGAATACACCAATTGCCTATTTGTTCTTCGTGTCAAATGGGAAAGAGTCACAGGCTACCTTTCCATACATCTCACATAGCTTACTCTACACCATTTGAGCTAGTGTACACTGATTTGTGGGGGCTAGCTCCTGTTTCCTCCAATAGTTTCAAATATTACATATCGTTTGTCGATGCCTACTCGCGACATACATGGTTGTATCTGTTAAAAACAAAATATCAAGCTGTGAATGTTTTTCAGGTTTTTCAAAGCATGGTTCGTACTCAGTTTAATACCGATCTCTATTTTGAAAACCAGACCGGACCTGCCGGTTCAACCAGGAAACCGTTGCTTAGTCCGGTTCAATATAAACCGGTTAAACCGTTATTAGTGAACCGGATAAAACCGCTGAACCGTTCGAACCGGACCGGCTGAAAACCGGGAAAAATCGGGATTTTTGATTTTTTTTTAAAAAAAATTAAACCAAACAACGTCGTTTGTTAAACGAGCCAAGTCGAACTCGAGTATTGCTGAGCTCGACTCGAACTTGAAAACTTTAAAAATAAGCTCAACTCAACTCAAACTCACAAGCTAAAAATTATTAAGTTCAACTCAAACTCGAAATATAATATTGAAACTTGAACTCAAAAAGGCTTGAACTCAACAAAAAATTAGAAGCTCGATTGAAGCCTAAAATTCGAGCTTGATTGAAGTAAAATAATAGTTTACTCAATGCTCACCAAAAGGCTCCATGATTTTGAATGTCAAATTAACTCTATTATTTATAGAAGTTAGTTGTGATGCGCTTCTATGTTTCTTAGCAATGTGAGATTGTTTTGTTCTCATATTTTTACTCTTTAGATTTTTGGGATGCTCTTCTATGTTTCTTAGCCATGTGAGATTGTTTTTAAAAAAAAATTAAACCAAACAATATCATTTTGTTATGATTTTTTAACCTCAAATTTATTTTTTAATTATAGTTGTATAATTATATTTATTATTTAATATGTTTTACCTTAAATATTATGTTGTAGTTAATTTGAATCATTTTGTTTCACTTAATTTTATGGTTTTTAACTTATATATGTTATGACTTGCTTTGAATATGACTTGTGATATAAAAAATTATTTTTTATTAAATATTTTTGGTATTTTTATTTAATTTTTTAAATAATTATGACGTCGTCTAGTTCTTTCGACCGGTCGGACCGATTGATCCAGTGAACCGATAGCATGACCGGTTCGCTAACCAGTCCGGTTCTGAAAACCATGATACCAATATCAAGGCTATGGTGGCGAGTATCGTTCTTTGTCTGCTGTTCTTCTCAAGAGCTGTATCCAG